GAGACTATGATTCTATAGAACATTCAATCCGGCGTTAACAGTAAGAACCATCAAAACGTCTACAGTTATTCTGTCAAATTATTGATTTTTTCGAAACAATAAAACCATCAAAACCAAGAATTTATATCAGTTTGAAGAATACCCGAATTTATTCTCACCCGGAAAGTTTGTAGAAGTTGATGTCGATCAAAAAATTGGTTCAAAATCGGATCTCATGAGAAATGTTTCAAAATCCACAAAAAGACACGTGAATTCAGAAAAAATTTGAATGTTTCACTAGGTACAGAATTGGTTTGCCTACCGATTTTGTTCCCTCTCGTGGCACAATTCAAATAATACTCGAATTTGGCGTGACCACTGTTTCCTTTGAAAAAGTTCAAAATCGGGAGGCGAACCGATTATGTACCTGTAGAAGAAAAGAATGCACAGAGCAACGAAAAGTTCAAAATGCAGGAAGATTGGTTGTCACCTGGATTTGAGCAAACTACAACTACACTATCCACACTGTCTCAATTGTCTACACTGTCCAATTTTAAAGTGTCCACCTATTTTTTGTTCAAGATCATTTTCAGGTCCATCAAATAAACATTTTCTATAACTTTTACTAATTTCTGGAATGTTCATACAGAAAATTTCTGAATTCAAAAAAGGCAAGACAACACTGGACGAAACCTGTCGAAAAGACAAACTTTTTGAAAAACGCTTGTTCTTTCTATTAACTCTGTTCTTTTTGTACATAAAATATGAAAAATTACGATTTTCAAAAATGAGAAAAAAATTCTTCAAATTTCAACCGTCTTATATGATAAAAATTTTATCAGTTAAATACTTTTTGATACCTTTCACAGCAGCCAAGAAAATAAAAATTGAGTCGAAACAAAAAAGTGAAATTGCTCATTTTTCAGTGGACGCTCTCAAGTTCATGAAACTCCGCAAACTTCGTAATGAGGATCTGGAAAAAGAGAAAAAGATGAACCCAATTGAAAAAGTTTGACTTTTACTCTGAAATTTGGCTGAAACTTTTGTCTTGCTTGAATTTTTCTCTGTCATAAAAACTAACTGGCGAGTAGCTTCAAACTTTTTTCCTTTGTTTTTATATTTTTCAGTTTGAATAAAGTGATTTTTCTGTGCAAATTTTATTTTGTGATGTTTACTGCTTTTCAGATTTTCAGATTTTTGAGTTTTCATATCCTTCTGGATTTTTGGATTCTGAATTTCATTTTTTTCCCCGAACTTTTTTGAATTCCAAGACCAAAGGATGAGGCCAAAGATGACTCAAGAACATCACATATACCACGTCCCGTTTGTCAATTGCTTTTATTAAATTTCGTTTTCAATTGAATAGTATGAAACTTGAAGAGACGCAGAGAAAAGAGGAGCAGCTGCTTGGTTTTTTGGATATATGACGCACAATGTTTTAACAATGGATCCTTCTTTTTCTTCTGGTAAACAAGTTCTCCTGGGGAACTCTTATTATTTTTGTTCTTCATAATTGGAAACATTTTGGATTCGGATATTTTACGGGTCTCATATTGCGGAAGAGAATAAAATATTAGGTTGGACAGAAAGTTTCTTCCTTTTTTGGCAACTTTTTGGGTCACATTTTTCTAAAAGGGGAGAGGGTTAGATCAATGACAGTAACGTCCATGAGCATTGATAGTTGCCTGGTAAGGCTACTTCTTGAGCCGATGGGACCAGAACGAGGAGAGCGGCGATTGAAAAAGTGGGCCAACTTATTTTTTGGGCCATCTTTTCAATTGAAGTCTTTGCTATCAAGATGACGTTTAAGAGTCCCAAAAAATTATTTTTCCAAAAGGGCAAGGTTCGGAAAATATGAGAAATGCAAAAGAATAATTCAGCCGAACGACATGAATTTTTTGATGATCTCGCAATGCGAACTTTGGGTTTTTCTCCTTCTTTTGCTTCGACTTTCAAATTTAATTTCATTAATTAGAAACTATACGAGACGGCAGTTATAATGATACCTTCATCTAAAAGTTACCAGTCTCCATTCCTTTGAGAGATCACCAAAAACATAACATCCCCCTTTTCACGTGAAATTTAGGTTTCGAGACGACCAGAGCTAGCGGTTCTTCGTCAATCGACTGCCCCTTCCGCACATTGTTAGAGTAACTCATCCACTTTTGATCTACGCTAATTAGATCATCCACCCAGTTGAATGTATCAAGAAATGATAGGAGAAACATGCTCATGTCCATATGAAAATCCATATCATAGTCCTTCAAAACACGGGGTACGAATCGACCCAGTTTTTGACTTCGCCAAGAGACTTCGATCCGTTCACATTAATTGGTTGGCTAACGGACAATGTCTTCCACATTTTACAAGTGGTTTGAAATGAATGCGACTTCACGACTTTTAGCAATTGATCGAGACCCAACTAACTGGGCCGTTGGCATCTTTCAAACCGAACTCCCACGGTCGAAGCAAAGGCAAATTGTAGGCGATGACCGAGCATGCCCTTTATATACATTCACCATTTTTTTTGCGAATAGCAGGATTTTGAAGGTCAAATAAAAACAAGAACATAATCATGTAGCTTATGTGCTGTCGGATAAGGACCAAAAGAATCGTCATTTCTCCAACACCGAGTGAGATAAAAAATTAACCAATCTACAATCTAATAGACACTGAACACAGCTCTCTAACAAAAAAATGTTTGGCCCGGTTCACCTCTTCTAGAACCAGAAACCGAGCCTCAAAAACAGCCCTGTGAAAAAGGAAGAAACTTTCTGTTCAACCTAATATCTTATTTTCAAACTTCAAAAGGTTGAAATCTTTTCCAAAAACCCGAGAATTCTGAATTTTTTTCAAACCAAAAAAAAATGGAATTTTGAAATCCAAAAACCGGAGAATCCCAAAACCCAAAAACAAAAAATTTTGAAAGAAGCCAAACTTTACCTATTGGAAGAATTCGTGAAATTGTGAAAAAAAAATATTTTTTGCATTATTTCATACCAGCTTCTCACTTGTAATGAGACATAAAATAAAACGGGGAGACGCAGACTGGAAGGAAAGCACGAGGGAGGCTGCGTCTCTTTTTCTCACCGCGGTGTCCAAACTTTCCCTCAGCAAGTAGCGCAAAATCTATAAAGTGCATGCAAAACCTTTTCATAATGTTAATAAGGATTTCATAATGATTTTAAAAATTTTCTGCAATATTAACATTTTTTCTAGAAATCGAACCATGTCTGAAACCCCAGAAATCACATGTTTTTCCCTGTATGAAGAAATTAATGCTGAACAAAATGTCGCGGCTGTAACGACACAAATATCTACTCATTATCTTTTCAATTGGTGGGTTTTTAATCTATAATTCTGCAATTCGTTTAAAAACCATTTGAAAAATGGAAAACAATTAAAACAGGAGATGTGTTCGTTAAGAAACTTTTTTCCGATTTTTGAATTAAACAATTGAAATGTCGAAAAAAACGGAAAGTTTCTTATTTTTCAAAAAAAATAAATAAAAGAATTCAAAATATGACGAAAGATATACAATTCCAGAAAAATCAAAAAAAGTTTTTTCAACGGAAAAAATTTCAGTTTTTCGTCAAAGATTCCCAAATTGCTTTTTCAGGAGTATTACAGCAATTCCAATTGAAGGTGGAGATTTCGAATTGTATCTGAATTCCGAATGCACAGATTCGGATGCACCGGGCAATCTTAAAAATCAGTTGGAAGGAAAATTCAACATTTCGGGTATATTCTATTGAAGTTCAATATCTAGAACTCTTTGTGAAACTTTAAATAAAGGTCCATTCGAAGTGCAAAGGTTCTTTGAAGAAATAAATTGTGGTGTAAAAATGGAATCATCGGAGGTGGGGAGACATGAAAAAAATAATTTTCTCGAAATTTCGTTTAAATATGCTCCTCGAGGAGTTGAACTTGGGGGGGGGAGGCCTCGTCATTTGGAAGACAGGTTTTGTCGGTTTCACTGTGGCCGGAAGCGATTATTAGAGAAGAAACCAAAAAGAATAGCTTACTCTTGAAGTTTAGGAATCCTTGATTCAAACTTGGATAGAAGGTTGGATCTGCTGTGTTGGCGATTTGGATCGCTTGTGCAAAACCCGTCAAGTCAACTTTGTCAAGAAGTTCGTCGAGCACTGCGTCAATACTTTTCGGACCTGATTCGACATTTATTCCTTGATGAGCTGCAAGCCTCGCTCGTAGATCTCGGTCCCAATCTGTGAATCGTGTGACACCATCATT